GTGGCCTACACGATGCAGCACTACTTCCGGTTATAAATATACACACAGACAACATCACTGGCGGTATAAGCAAACAGAAATTGATGCTCAGCCAGGATATAAATAGTACATGCTGCCGTGGGAACACGGATCCACCTACAGGCCTTGAGTTGCAGTTTCCCTAATGTGCATGTATAACTACATATAAGCGTCTGGAAAGGATATACAACGATTCAAATACAATATGAGAGCACAGTTACACTTAACACCTGTTTAGTCTCTAATGAACTGCTTCGTGTTCTGAAGCCACGCCGATTCTAAATGGGACTCGCTTTTTATGTGTATAGAAAACATGGTTTTTAATTTAGCTTTTTCATCTACTCCCGGACATCGCGTGAAATAGGAACTCTGTTTTGTTGCTTTTCAAGTGGAGGGAAGATCGCACAATTACAGTGCTACGGCGCAACGACTCTCGCCGATTCTAGAGCTGCGCAGTACCCTGTGACTTATCGCAATATTCTTAGCATACTTAGTGTAGAAAATCTAACATATGTTTTCAGAGAAATCGCATAAAGAATATTTGTCGTCGGGAAAAGTTTTACGAGGACACATCAGGAGTTCTTCCGCGGTACCCTCCTCGATCCAGTAACCACCGTTAACTCCTAGAGTTGCTCGTTTTGCCTTGTGAAGAGATTTTATTTCAAACAATAGAAATCGACATAAGAAGAGATTTCAGAGCTGCAAGTTTTCTCACTTTTTTTTTGTATGTGTGTTTGATAGCGGTGCCGCGATTTTCCACTGTTAATCGTGTCAGTGCAATTCGTTAATGACAATTCACCATGGGAAACCGCATTCTTTAATAAAACAGTTTTTTTTTTTTGTGATGGCACGACGTAACATTCTTAATACCGTCATATCTTGCCGGTATCGCCACCACACCGTTATATTCGGTAGATTTTACTATGACCTAATACATCTCGTTTCCTCGCAGTATTAAGGTTCTCGAAACGATTAGTTTCTCGACGTTATTAAACACTGCAGGCTCCCATGATTTTCTACAAACTGATCGCGTTTTCGTAGGCTACACATTTGTTATTTATTTTTGCAGCATCGAAGGCTCTCGTCTTTTTTAAAAGGATTAATCGAAGCTCTTCATTCAGTCTGGATAAGCTCGTCCTCGTGCAGGAAAACGCGAGGCCCAAGAAACACGGAACGAGCGAAAACCGCTCCAGCTCGCGGTCTCCAATGTTTTTACACACCCACACACTCACATGTATGTCGACTTGCCTGTGGTTTCGATGTTCTCTTAAGTACATTTATTTCTATGACGTAAACAAATAGACGAGCACGGGATGAGGGTACATAAATATTGGACCCCATTCAATGTATACGATGATGACTAGAAACCACGATTCCTCGAAACAACATACAATTTTATAGCATCCGAGTGCACGGTCAAAATGTTTCTCAAGGGTGTCGTCAAAAGCTACATGTAACGCTCACTTTCAACTGAAAATAAAAATAAAACGGAATTTTTTTTTAACCACCTGGTTCAAACGCATTACACGGAATATCAATATTGTTGAATACCTTTTTAATTCAATGTTTACACGATGAGGCGTGATTGAGAGCAGAGTTTCCCGTTTAGGTAATATTATTTGAGGGGTGTATTTAAGTGAACTGGTTGGTTCTGCCGCGCGTGTGAAAATGAATGAATGATTGGCAACGTGCAGTAAGGTTCCCCGCACATGCTGATCGCAGTCGTGCACTACAAACATTTTTTTTTTTTTTTTTTTTTCACGCGGGGAATTTTAGTTTAAGAGCTGCCCTACCAACTTAGCCTTCAGTTTTACCAACTCGAGCTCTTGGCTTCGATCAGTACTTCGCCGTTATTTCACCAAACGCTACATGTTTTGCGTGGGATCGCCTGCTGTCAACATCGGGTACAACAAAAAGTAACACCACTGTTAGAACACTGAGGCATTATAAAGCTACGCGATCGTGCTGGTGATCTTCACAACGGGCTATAAACTTACGTGAAATAGAGCACAGACGCACCAATCTGTGGGTTGAACTTAGTACTTTGCGCGCCTTTGGAACTTCAGTGCGTCACTTCTAGTATCTGTGGCATGGGTATGCTATGTTTATGCGTATAATGGTGCGTACGTGATGTAAACGGACTTAGCATGCTGCAGATTCTATAACACACAATGCTTGCACTAAATCGAAGATACTTTATCTTATAGCTTCGGCAGCGTGCAGTAGAGATATCATAATTACGTACCAGTCCTAAGCATGCTTTAATTTTATATTCTCTATCGATAATGCCATTTTTTACTGCCTCTTTCTTGAACTGTGAGAATGGTGCTTGCTGACACAAAATCTCAGAAAGATAGCAGTTTGAAAAGAGTAGACTCGTGAATAATGAAAAACAAAATGCTGGTTTTCAGCTCAAGGAAGATAACTTTAACAAAGATCCTATATGACGAACGTACTAGGGCTAAATTGATCGTCCATAACGATGACAATTCTAACAAGGATGGTCCACAAGGATGACACAATGTTTCAAACTGTGAAAAACGCACTTCTCACGTAGACAGCAGACTTTAGACAAATCGGTCATATTCTATGCTGAATCGACCATGCATTCATGAACTAAGCACGTTTTCATTTCACGCTGTGAAGGAATATGGGCATCTACTACGCACTATTCGCAAGGCATGGCACGTATTTAGTGCCCTCAGTAATAAATTCCGGTGGCTAGTTTAGATGGTCAAGGGGACTTTCAGCAGATCGTGTTTGCCTAGAACGACATTGGTAGAGGGAGCTCGCGCTGCCACTCCGAATTTTGAAGCACTTTTTGAGACCAGTCTTCGAAAACGATTTGCTAAATCTCCCTACTGCCTCTATTACCTCTCGTTGAATTGACTGAGATGCCTCCTATCGAGCTAGGTTCGAGACTCGAGTGTCAGCAAACAAACCCACGAGCCAGACTAGTCAGATATAAATAAAGGATGATGCAACCGTTCGAACGGGCTAGTGCAACACACTGTAACTTGTTCGATTATGCCTCTAGCCCAATGGACTGTACTCAATTTGAGGCACGTTATTTGGCACGCCGCCATGCACCCGAAAAGCCACTCATCTTTTTGGCGGCGAAATGACTCGCACGACAGATCTCGTCCTTCGGAGCCTGGCACCACGTGCGTGCACGTTGAACGCCCTGTATGCTTCGCTTTTATTATTATCATATATATATATATATATTTTTTTTTACTTTTCGCGCGCGGGATGCTATGAATAGCGCCACCGCGACGAACACGGTGAGGGAACTTTAGGGCGACGTGAAGCGCACCTTCTTAGAAATAAGGCCCCCTTTGGGTGGAGGGTCAACCGCCCCCGCCATTGAGATGTCACGTTCGTCTTTTGTGCACGTAACGGTGTAAATGCCTTCCCGCAGGTTAACGGCTCCAAAGTCGCATAAAATTCTACGAGTAAGACACTCTCTTCCGCATTCGCTTCACCAAGGCGGAAGAGTCGTCAACAATTATTGAACCGTGTTTCAAACCCCGTTGAGGGCCGAGGTTGAAAATAACTTCACGTTTTGGATCCCAGCACGCCATGTATCCATGGGATCAGTGTTGTCAAATTAAGGTTTTACGCGCCAAACCAAGGAAGGGCATCTGGGGCGCCGCGGCTGAGGACTGCGGATTAATTTCGACTTCCTGGGGATCCTTTGACGCGCAATCGAAACCTCGGTTACGCGGACCGCAATAAGCCTCCCTGAGTCAGTGTTGTTCTAAATAATGTATGTTCTCAAGTTTGAATTGGTCTTCAGTCACAAATAGTTCTCTGCAAGAACGTTCAGACTAGACAAGTGATTTCTAAAATACCTTCATATGTGCATTACATATGCGACAGCTTTGCCTCGAACTCAAGCAGTTCGTAAACTTGCGACAGTCAAAGATTTCTGACGGGAGGACCATGACGTCACATTACGTAAGCGGACTGCGCGCGAAGCGATAGACGTTTTGACAACATGTCGGAAAGTTCAAAAAGGTGACTTTTCGAGACGCCAATCGCCGCGACGATCGCGATAAATCTTACACAAGGCGGCAGCTCGTTGAAGCAAAGCTGCAATAAATATTACGATAGAACTAAAATATGGGGACTATATAACGAACAACGACAGTTCGCTAAGGCGGCAGTGACGCTATCCTTCGCGTCTGCTTGATAACATGCAGCGCATTCGCTCGATGACATTACAAGAATGAACACACAGCAGTGTGGAAGGGAACTTTCGCTGCTTCTTATTCGGCGATTTTCCATGCTAGACGAGCGTGCGCCGCACTGACGCCGCGCAAGTGCGTGTACCGGGAAGCCTGACGCTCAAAATACGAACCGCGCACAACTCAGTAATGTGACGGATTTAACGTACAAATCGATGACCTCGTTTTGTTTTACCCACTGAAAGGTTCACAACCTCGCACACGAATCTGGGCTGGATCACAACATTATATAGTCGCTTTAAAGAAACGCGGGATCTTGCTTATTATGTTCACTCTTCTTGCTTCGGGATTCGTTCTTCGAGGCTCTTACCGCCCAATGCCGCAGTCTCATTAACTGCGGAGCTATTACATTATGCACGAGATTCGCCATACCCTGACTTTCTGTCTGCTGTCAGGGACTATTGCGCTCTCTGGTTATTTCTATAGACCTTTACAAAAAAGAGCGTGTGGCCGGTGCCATTCTCAGTGTTCGTGCGTATGGCGCGTGCTTTGCTCTCTTTCTGAAGCGACGAACACGCACGTGCTGGGCTGTGAAGACCGCACGTTGGACTGTGATTTTGTAAACATTAGAAAGGTCTATAGGGTGTATTCACTGGCGGCCATAGCTGTGTGCGCGATTGCTGAGCGCGTGCTGATGACGAACTTCCACAGTTATTTTAGAACGTGCACTCCGCACCATCAAGGTTACCGGTCTTAGCAGCCTATTAATGTGAACTCATTTTGAGCATGCGCTCTAAACAGCACCCACAAATATGGCGTCCAGTGAATAGTCCCTATATGCGACTTGGAGAAATGCGAAACCTGCCACGACCGAAGGAAGGTTCACGCCGTACACCTCCCACGCTCTGTCTCACTAAGACCGTGCGGTGGAGCCAACGCTGCAGCTCTTGTGAGCCAATTAGAAGAGCAAACGCCACTCTTCTGATTAGCTTACGAGCGCTATGGCCTCGTAAGCCAATGGAAAGAGTGGCGTTCCTTCTTTTAATTTTCTCGTGAGGGTGGCAGCTTTGCTCCACTGCGCGGTTTTACCGAGACAGAGAGAGTGGTAGCAAGGCCGTAGAGCTGGAATTTCTACGTCACCTAGTGAAGGCCAGCACGGGGCAGGCATTGGACACGAATTCCGCGTCAGCGTTCCTCTGGAACTCGTGTCTTTGCTGATTGGACACGAGTCCCGGCCGAACGCTGATGCAGAGCTCGTGCCCAATCAGCTCCCCGAGCTGGCCTTCGGTAGGTGACGTAAAAATTCTAGCACCGAGGCCTTGTTTTTTGGCTGCTGCACCGTCAGGTGTGACAGAGACCGGCTCAACACGCGACGTGCTCCCGCTAGGTGGGCTGCCGAGCGGCTCTGGGCAGGAACTGGACGGCCTTTTGGCCGCGTGCCGTCCTGTGTCCTGGCTTGGGCACGCCGGACTTCTTGATGCCCAGGTACCAGCCTTTTTCCTTGTTCAGCTTGCTCAGGTAGTTGTTGTAGCCGCCCTCGTAGATCTCGTAGAAGATGCCGTCTTCTGCGAGTCTATCCTTCTGCGGAGAAGCAACAATGGAAGTGTGCCGCTTCGGGTCGTTCTGGATATACCTCCGCGTTTATGAGATAAAGGAAAGCGAAATAATGGTAGACTCTGAAATGTTTGTGTATTTCACACGCTTAGAAAAAACTATAGCACGAACGATGCAACACAATGTCCAGCTGTAGAACACACCGTTGCGCAGTTGTACTCGCGGTAAAGTTCGGTCATTTGCGAAGAACCTGCCCTATTGTATTTACTATGTTGCTTTCGAATAGAAGTTGTTAGAAATGTCTTGTTTTCGGTTGTGTTTCTTTTCATGCGCAGTTCTACACTTTAGCAACAGCCCCAAAAGAGTTAAAAGTACAAATAAATAAAATAAATTAATTTTTGCCTAGCTAGATCTCACTCAAACAAAATCGCTTCTCTGCTAAACACGCATAAAGTGAGTCATAACGATCGATAGTAACAGCCTATAACGAAAGAAAGCCAAGGTCTTTAGACATTCTTGGGTGGGATGTTTTAACGTGATAGTCACGCATGGAGCCTCTACAAAAGTCGCTCTTTGGGCAGCAGAATCGTTGGTTACCATGCACTCTACTGCGAAGAAAAAATAATGTAATCGTGCAAATATATATATATATATTTTTTTACAAAAATACAGTCTCATTATTATCGAACGAATACAGCTCCCACAGCGCAAATGCGCCGCGCGAGTTCGTATGCTTCTTTGCAGGAGTTGCGATGACGTCATAACGCCGAGCTCTTATTGGCTGATTGAAAAAAAAAAAAAACAGTGGGTAGAGCTCAAAGCATCTAGCATCGAGGTCTACCCATTATCCTTTCAATCAAAACCAATCAGAGCTCAGCGTCGTTCTGACATCACTGACATTCCTGTGCTAGAAGCAGACGACTTTCTCTCCGCATAGTATATGTTAAGTTTTGCCCACCTCAAACGGTCTCAAGACACAATTTATTCGATGTACGAACCAAAGAACACGTAAGCTCCGTACACTCTCATACGGAAAGCGTCGGTTAAAAGAAGTAACCTCCAACTATGCCTTTTTCAAGTTTTCGTAAGGAATGCACTCAAAAACTTGTTGTCACTGCTTCATTCATTATTCTAATTAATTTAAAAGTGGCAGCTTTTTTTTTTTTCCTTTTTTTGTATTAAATTTACATGCGCCATACGCCTCTAAACGACAAAAAAAAAAGTAATGGAGAATAAAGAAACGTAGATCACTATTTTGTGCAATAGGCTAGCATGCATGGGATCGTTCAGACGCATGCATCGATCTGCATCTCGTTTTCGGTTTTGTGGAACATGTCCAAATCAAAAGACGGGCAAAAAATTGATTTTTCTATTTTCACGTTTCTCGCTTGGCTTCGAAACGTTTCTTTTCATTTTTTTTTTTTTCTGTCTGTTTCAGATTAAGTGTGGGCCGGACGCAGGCGGACGAGCGTGTATCTTTAGGAAGGCGAGCGCTGCTCCGAGAACCGGCGACTGTTTACCTTGGCATAAACGTTTCCCTCGGCGTCCATGCAGATGTAGAGGCCCGTCTCCACTCCGCGGATCCTCACCTCTCCGATGTCGTGAGAGGACAGCTCCAAGATGGCTGCGTTCCGTGGGAACCGGACACAATTGATAGAGACACTCTAGACCGTTCGCCTACTTTCGTCTACCATTATTTTAAGAATAAAAAAAAAGTGAAGTGAAAGAAAGTGTAGAGCGTATGCGTCTATGGCGCGCGTGTAGTCTCAGTGTAAACTGGGTTGCTAAACGCAAGGTAGACAAAAAAGAAATACAGGAAGATACATTGGTAGATTTTTGGGAATCCGTTAGCATGACCTTTGGAAACGCCACACATATCTCTCTTTGAAAAACGTTAATGCTGACCCCTTCACTTTTTTCTTTTGGCTTTCTTTTTCGCTTCTTTTATTTTTTTGCTGCCCCTTTTTCGCCTTATTACGGAGTCAGTGTTAGCGTTTCCCAAAAAAGGACGAGTGTGGCGTTTCCAAAGGTCATGCTAACGGATTCCCCAAGAATCCACCTATGAATCTTCCTGTAATTTTTTCTCCTCCTTTTTAGTGTTTTGCCTGTCAGAGTACGTCGATGCCCTTGGATGCGGTCACCATATCACTCGTGGAAAGAACCATATCCATACCACTCGTTGAAGGAACTGCATCCATGCCACTCGTGGGGCGAACCGCATCCATCGTTTTAACTACACACACACATTACAGCCCACGCACCGCTACTACGGAAACCCAGAGTCAAGAACAACGGCTGACAGCAGAGCGGCAACTGAGCACGCCCGCACTCCATCGAGCCGCGACGCAAGACCTCCTAGATAACAAAGCCGTAGTGCTGAAGGAGATGGTGTCATCAAAAAAAAAGCCAACGCTGGACACAGATTGGAAAAGACGAACGCGTCAACATTCGGCTCAAACTTGGCTGGAAGCCGAGCGCTGACGTGGCACTCGTTTCCAACCTGTGTCTAGCGTTGGCCTTCCTCATTCAGCACTGTGACTACGTTATCTAGGAGGTGCATCGCGGCACCTACCCCTCTCTGGCTTCGCGCCAGCTGTGCGCGTGACATGCCGAAAACGAAAGGGCTCGTTTTGGCGAAAACCTGGCGGTGTCTGTCAGTTTATCAGCGCCGGGAAGAGAGAGAAAGGTTGACGCGTGCTCACGCCAGCGGTTCAGACTAATGGGAGGGCCGCACGCGACAACTGACAAACTAAAGACGCCGCTAGGTTTTCGCCAGAACAAACGTACTCATGCTAACGCATTAAAAAAATGAAAGCCGTTTACAACTCCCTGTAACGTCGAACTAGAGCGCAGCTCTTGAGGAGGAGGAGGAGCCAAGACCACAAATGTCACGTGACCCCCACGTCATTTTGGGGAGGGGGTCACGTGACCCCACGAAGGTCACGTGACCTCGGGGTGTCACGTGATCTCGGGGGTCACGTGACCCCCCAGAGAAATTTTTCCGCAAAATTTAGTGGGGAAATTTTTCCGCTAAATCTAGCGGGGAAAATTTTCGCTAGATTTAGCGAGGAAATTTTTCGGGGGAAATTTTTTCGCTAGATTTAACGGGGAAATTTTTCCGCTAGATTTAACGGGGAAATTTTTCCGTCAGATATAGCGGGGAAATTTTTCCGCTAGATTTAGCGGGGAAATTTTTCCGCTAGATTTAGCGGGGAAATTTACCCATAATGCACCGCGCGGTTACGCCGACGGTGACGGCGACGGCGACGGCAACGGCGACGCCGACGCCGCTCAAGCCGGAAACAGGCGCCTAAGAGCTGCGCTCTAAAAAAGAAGGCGAGTTACAGTTGGTGACATGTTAGGGACCCAGTAGATTCTTCGCCTCCAGCACGCATTTGTTGCCTCACGCCGTGCTTTGGCTGAGCGTGCTCCCAAGTGTAATCAAAAGCTCGCGCATGGGGCGGAGCATCTAGATCGTCTACTGTGTTCTATTACCCGTGCCACACGGGCAACTCGAATGCCATTTACAACGAATGACATTTGAACGGTCGGCCAATCAGCGCGCGACACTCCGAGCGTGGGGCGTTCCACACGCGACAGATAGCGAGCCGATTCGTCGATCACACGAATGTCATTCGTTCTAAATGGCATTAGAGTTGTCCGTGTGGCACGGGTATTAACCTGTCCCCGGCTATATGGAGTATTCACTGGGCGCCATATTTGAGGTAACTGCTTACAACGCATGCTCGGGAAGAGTTTCCCGTCAGCTCTCGGGCAACCGCAAGAGAAGGGGGAAAGGAGAAATTCTTATCATCGGGACTCTCCTTTGTAGGTCCCATGCTGCCCCAAACATCGCTATTCTACCTCTAGAAGATTATAGAAGGTTAACTTGCCACTCAAAATTCGCACAAAAGCATCTTTCCCCTCTCTCTCTTCCTCGGTGGTAAGAAAGCAGCAGCGAGCTCAACTATGACCGCCACTGAAACTCAATTGGGTGAAGATTTAGCGACAGGAATCAACAAAAAAATGAACTCGTCCCCCAACCGTTGTCTTTGTCCGTGCTTCCAAGTAGTCAGTCTTGACTATAAATAATACCTCTGCTTTACGGGCGGTTAAACGGCCTTCAGAACAAACTGCTTTAAAGGTTTGACGAATCATTTCCTGATCTCGACTCTGCGCGTAGCCATCGGCGTGCGCGCTCTCCCCGGCGCTAACAGACTGACAGACACCGCCAGGTTTTCGTCAAAACGATGCCCTTTCGTTTTCGGCAAAGTCACGCGCACAGCTGGTGCGGAGCAAGAGAGGAGGAGGCGCCGTGCAACACTTCCTAGATAAAGAAACCTCAGTGCTGAATGAGATGGTTTAATCAGAAAAGGCCAACGGTGGGCACAGGTTGGAAACAAGTGCTGCGTCATCGCTCGGCTTCGAGTCAAGTTTGAGTCGTGTTGACGTAATCGTCGTGTCATATCTGTGCTGATGATGACGTTATCTCCTTCAGCACTAGGGCTTTGTTATCTAGGAGGTGTTGCGCGCGGCGGGGAAGAATGCTGGAGTGCTTAGTTGCCGCTCTGCTGTCGACGGTTGTTCTTCGCTCTGGGTTTCTGTAACAGCGGTGCGTGGGCTGTGATGTGCGTGTGTAGTTAAAACGATGGATGCGGTTCACTCCACGAGTGGTATGAATGCAGTTCCTTCCATGAGGGGTATGGATGTGGTTCTTTCCACGAGTGATATGTGTGGCCGCATCCAAAAACGTCGACGTAGTCTGACGGGCAGAATACAAAAAAAAAAAAAAAAAAAAAAAGGGTGAAACGAATTACAGGAAGATCCATCGGTGGCTTGTTAGGGAATCCGTTAGCATGACCCTTGGGAAGCGCTACACACGTCTCCCTTTGGGAAACTCTAACCCCATAACGAGGCCAGAAAGAGGCAGCGAAAATGGAAGAAGCAAAAGAGAAAGTCAATAGAAAAAAGTGAAGGGATCATCGTTAGCGTTTCCTAAAGAGGGATATGTGTGGCGTTTCCAAGGGTCATGCTAACGCCTTTCCAAAGAATCCACCAATGGATCTTTCTATGTTTTTAATTCAATATAACACCTAATTTTCTAGTCTGCGCCTCTAATCCGGACACCTGGCGAAAAAGTCAGCGAGCAATTTGACCGCCGTGATTGGCCGATGCCGAGGTCAAGCGCGACGCCCGTCAGTCGCGGCCGCCGAAGTCCTCTTAACACTAATTCCTCTTAAATTTCCACCACGGTAGGAATGTCGTGCGTTATTTTCTCTTTAAATTCCTCACGCCTTTTTGTTTTATTTTTACTCTCTCTCTCTCTTTCTTTTTTGGTGTGCAGGGAACTCTTGCCACTCTTCCAAGGTCCATACTTTGGTGCAACTTACAAGTGGACCCTGCGGAATAAAATTCGATAGCATACGAAGGAACAACGGAGCAAGACCTTCGCGTTTCAGGTATGTTTCACCACTGAGCTGATGTGCCATGCGGCGAAGTGGATTTGACGAATCAACACACCGCGAGTCATTTGATGCGCGCCTCCGCGCGGCCCCCCCCCCCCCCCCCCCCCCCCCCCCCCCCCAATGCCACTACGAACTCACATGTTCCTCAAACTATACTTCGCACGCCTGACGGTAACGCCGCCTAATAAAAAATGCTACAATCGCGAGCGGGTACCTTCGATTGGTGCTCCCACAAGGCGAGCGCTTGCGCAGCCGAGGCGCGAAGAAACCCAAGGAGCTAGCTCTTCTATCATTTGCTGTTAATCCATATCACAAGGAAACATAATATACAAAGTGTTAATTTTAATTAGAACAGATAAAAACAAAAGAAAAGTGTTATACGGGTTCCACCTTTAATTGCGCCAGAATACGACCTGTACGCAATGCCTACTTTAAGGAAGTATCTTCCACTGTGGGATTCGACACAGCCAACAAACGTGGACCAAGGATCCCGGAAGTCGCCGGGCGACGTCGGAAACACTGGATGGGTGAGCGACTGAGACGGCTGGGATCGCTGGGACGGAGACGTTGGGCAATCGAACAAATGACCGGGAGACAAGAAGAAAGGAAACAGAGTCGCCGAATCCAGGACGCCGAAGCGGTCGTGCTGTCTACTTCTTTCATCAGTTCGTGTTTTTTTTTTTTTTTTTTTTTTTGTGCGTTGTTTTTGTTGTATGGTCATGAACCAACTAGCCTTCGTTGCCCCTTTAGTCAAGAACTTTTTCTTCGGTTTCCCTCTACTCCCCCTCCCTTTTTCTTTTTTTTTTTTTTTTGTCTGTCTGCTCTTGTCATTAGAAAGATCTCCAGACTAAGGTCTGGAAGCTCTGCCAACTCCAGACAGCGGTGTCCGTTGCTACGAGACAGAATAAACAAACTGAGAACGGGATGGAAACTGGAATGGATTACACTGGAACGGGAACGCACGGGGAATCTGTACGTGATCAGCAGGAAATATGAGCGTCCTGTGACGGTACGTGGCGATGCTGTTGGCGAACGGCGAAACATAGTGGGGACATTGGCAGTCAGAGGTCGGACTACATCCGAAAAAACGCGCGAGATTTAAGTTAATGTTTTGGAGCTGGTGGTCTTCGCTCGCGTCTTCTCTGGAAGGAATCCACGGATCGTCCGCCTCCTAAAAACTGCAAACTGACCTTACGTCCTTCTCGTGTTTTGGCAAATTCCAACTGTGTTACCGGCTAAAAAGGAATGTGCTTAAAAATTTGGATACGTTTAAGCATATACTTTTTTTTATGCCCGTCTCACTTACGTAATTGTATCTCAGAAGTTTTCGTCAGTGCTGGCAAAGCTACGGGCGCGAGTGCGTAGTTTTAGAAGCGCTTGATATGCGCAAGTGCTGGTGCGCACAAAGCATTCTGCTGAGCCTTCCTCTCGCACCCGTGTCCTTGCCAGCACTGAAGCGAACTTGCGATGTAGAGTATGGTGGGTGTGTGCGTTGTAGCTACAAACATGCTATCAAGTGCCGTTGAAAAAAAAAATCCCCGCAAGATTTTACGTTGATCAACTCTGTTTATACTTTGTTGTTTAAGAAAGAATTATAAATGGTTGACTTTTTAAATAGTAATTATAATTCAGCTACGATGTCTCGTGGTTTCTTAATACTTAAAGCTTACGACGCGATGAAATACATTATCCGGCATTTTTAACGGAATCAAATAATGTACTTTAAACAAAAAGAAGTGCGTATATTAAAAAGAAAACAACAATAACACAAAACAACAATTTTCGGGAGCTGTTTATAGGCAATCGAACTACCCATACTTAACATTCCTCTTGTTTAATGTTTTATTTCGGTGACTTTACTTCATTACCATGGTAACAGGACAACTAGGTTATTTCGTTTTTAGACGCTGCAGTGTCCTTATTTCCAATGCAGGATTGTGTGTAGGTCCCTCAACGTCCGTTTAAGCAGCTCAAGATGGCGGTAAGACAAGAGAAAGTCAGCAATACCCAATGAAGTTTGGTTTAGCAGGTGGCGCCATCTTACGGAGAATTTCTGTAACTCTGAGACGGCCCGCTTGTCCGAATGTCCGAGTTATTTTCCGAACTGTGGCGCAGTGCTCGTGTCCAATCGCTCGGTGGCTAGGCCTTTCCAAAGTTGTCCCTTTTGGCCATCAGCCGAGAGAACTAACAGTCTACCGAGGCGCCTCCTATTCACTGTCCTGGGGCAATGGAGACTCTAGCCAGGCGCATGTGTAAAGCGTCTGTACTTAGCCTCCATAGTTGGCGACACGTTAAGAACAGGTAGAAGCTCAGCCTCCAGCACGAAGGCAGAAAGCGCTTGCTGGAAGCGGAGCCTTTATTGGGTTCTCAACATGACCCCGACTCTGCGGAGCGCTAGTTCGTCTGCTTCTTGAACAAGGGGTGTGTGTTGACATCCAAACGCCAAGCTCTGATTCTCCGATTATCAAAAAAAAAAAAAAAATTGTGGGTAGATTTTAAGGCATCTGGCATTGAGGTATACCCAACATCCTTTCAATCAAAACCAATCAGAGATCGGCGTCGTTCTCACGTCACCGACACTCCTGTGCAAGAAGCAGACGACTTGCTCACCGCATAGACCTTTTTAGTGCATATCACCCAGGCAAGAAATGCCGAGTCACTGGACTTTGAACGCATACGCGGCGTCTCATATTTCGTGGAAGAGCGCTACTGCGCACGCTCAGAATTCCTTCCACAGCACAGCAGACAAAGATGGCGGAGCCCAGAAGATGATCATTGGAAAGGGCTATAACTGAGGCAAAGTGCTTTTAAAAATGTTGCGTGATTCGTATACCGTGTGGGTCGAAGGGTTCTGGGCATCCAAGGACGGCTCCTTCTTCCCCCGTCGCTTCTTCCTCTTTGTCTTCTACTTCCGAGTCTTGCTGGTCGTCGCCCTCTTTTTTTCGTGATCGCGGACCCACGTGCAAACGAAACAAGAGCGGCCGTTACCCACCGGAAGAACACCGAACGCTCAAGCTGGGGAACGTCACCTGTCGCTCGACCGCGGACAGCGTGACGGAACAGGAGGTCGTGTCGCAGAAGAAGCGGAGGAGAGGGCGAGAGGCAGGAGCGATTGGTGTGAGGCAAAGAGGTCGGACCGGACAGGAGGTCACGCAACGATGCGCGGGCGGACAGGGACGTGATGATGTGGAGACGATGGAGGACGTGAAGAACGCACACGAACGTGGATGACAAGTGCGAGGACGTAGACATATACGAAAGGTAAAGACGGACACCGACACGTGTACACAAAAAGGCCGCGGGAGTGGAATGGAAGGTGTTGTACAAGAAGTGTGCTGACGTCTCGATAGAATTCGGTTGACGGCTCAGCACGAGGACTCTACGTACGTAAAACGTTTCTCAGTGGTGTTCTGACCGGCCCATGTTTGTACATCGCGTTAGACAGAACGAACGAATGAACCATCATGTCGTTATTTTTAATCGGGAAGCTGCCATCGACGCGATGAGAAGGGCTCATCTGAAGCACGAACATGGGTGGTAAATTTCTGTATTTCTCAACTGCCTAAACGAAATTCAAAAAAAAAAAAAAAAAAAAGACGTCAATGTCGCGTTAGCGTTATACGTAGTTCTGTCGCGCAATGTACATTTTGAACGAACTAACAGAATTTCGACAGCTCTGTCATTGGTCATATCTAAAATATTAGCGTTAGACCGCGGAGAGGAACGTTAAGTTCGAGCAACCCTACGCTCGCACGTAATATGTAACAATCTCCAGGCCTTCTAAAACAGAAAAAAAAAAAAAGAAATATTTTGAACACAGCCGCTGGAATGTTAGATAGGCAGGAACGCGTATCTGCGAGCTTGGCAGGACGGACGGTGGCACATTCCGTAGATATGAGCTCGTTCTAGCTCTCCCAACCGGAGCAAACAGTAAATAGACAGTAAGAAAAATGACCACGCGTGCATACAACTCACAACTTCAGAATGTGCCTGCATTGCATAGCCTGCATCGAGGACTTCACGGGAGCATTAATTTGCGCTTGGTTCCTTTTTTTTTACAGGCATGTGCAAAAAAAGAAAAGAAAAGAAAAAGAGAAGCGACGTTAAAAGTGACACTTTTTAGCACTATATGGTTGTGCACAATATTGTTTTACATTTATCCTCCTACCGAAAATGCATTCTGCATGTTAGGTGTGTTAAAGCGAGGTTACGCTATGCGCTCATGACCTTCGCTTTAAAATCAAACTGCAATTACGCCTCTGTTTTACGCAGACATATCTAACTATGGCTGCATTTATAGGCGCTGCTCTGTTAAAGTTGGCGCTTCAAAGCCTAGTAGCCACACACATGGACAAGAGATGTAATAAACGACACCTTGAGCAAGATGGGTTTGTGCTAAGAAATGAACCTTGGACAACATAATCAGCTTTTGGAACGTGAAAAATCATCGTTAAAAAAATAAATACCAGTATAATACAAATTATGTAGCGATGGGGGTAGCAAAATACAGTGAGGTAACAACCCGGTGTGCGCAGAAGTGCCACTTGAGCATTGAAAAACTCTTCCATAGCATAATGCCACCACGTTTCCTCGTTATCTTGGTATTTTTTAGTTTTAATGGAGACAGAAGGGTGACTTCTATAGTGATAATTTTATAACAGAGGTATGTTTGCAGTTATCACATTTGTCCTTATGTGCTGTCTTATGACTTACAAGTTAAGGCACAGCGGATGGGGACGTACTGTATATCTGAGCCATGAAAAGTGAACAGAAGGAAAATTCCCACCATTGCCCGAGTATCTGAACAGAACTTGCTTCGTGGCCTGTGCCCCCGTGGACTACTACAGCGACTTAACTCTCCGATGGCTGTATACATATATTATACGCCCGCCCCAGGCTCGGGCTCCTCCCGAGTCTCACCGTATCGGTTGTAGGGCTCCCTGGTGCCGTAGACGGTGCCGGCAGGGAAGACGGCCAAATTGTGCCCCGTGCGGCAATATAGCTGCTTGACGGGCCCCAGGTGGTCCGGCAGGTTGTCCTCCTCCTTGCCGCCCAGGAAGCTCGGTCGAAAGCGAGCCATGTTGCCCCAGAAGGTCGACGCTGAGCGCAGGGCCTCGCCCACCCGCTGCGAGGGCGAGCGCCGGGGGCTGCTGCCGCACGCAGCATCTTCGTCCACGCCGGCGGCCTGCGCCAGGTCCTAAGGACGACCACGCGTACTAAGTACTCTGTTGCAAGTTTAGAACAACTGGGCGGTGACACTCTAATCCACGGCTCTGAAACACTTCCTTTTGTTTCTCTCTTCTTACAGTACTCTAATGATGATGAACAGCTGGATAAGCTCCTCACTCTTTTGCAGAGCCAACTCTGGAGAGGAGGCTAGTGGAGAGGAGGAAACAACATATCATGAAAAACGGAGAGCTTTGTGAGAGCGGCTTGTCCTTCTTAACCTGTTACAAACTATAGTCGCTGACGGGATGAAAACGACGGGGAAGTATTTCACTAGTCCCGCGTCCAGCGCGAGCGTCCTACCTTCGATAACGGCGTCTCGTGAGCTTCGAGCGTGCTCGCGCAGCCGGAGCATGGCGGAAGGCAACGAGCGCGTGCCGGGCATCCGACAGAAACACCCGGTCGGTCTTATCCTGTCAGTGACCACAGGAATAGTCTGGTTGAAGTCCATTGCCCTTGCCGCACTTTAAGCACAAACAAACACTTGTACACACGCAACAAAGCATAATCCTCATCACATTGCTTGATTACTTCCCACACGAAACAAAGTTCTGGCTCGCTCAACTTTAGGCCCAATAAATGTTGTATACCAAGCCTATTACCGAAGCAGTTTGTCGAGTCCACGAAGTTTTGTGAACGATTCTACGTCGAACCTGACACGTGCCCATTTCGCTTAATACTGCTAGCGTTCATAAGAAAGAAAGACGTTTACGATTCTCTGTAATGCCGAATTAGAGCTCAGCTCTTGAGGAGGAGGAGGGAAAGGTACGGAGGGGAGGATATAACCCTCCTCCCCCTCCCCTCATCCTCTCCTGCTTCGCTCCTATTTAGCGAGGAATTTTCCCGCTCAGTTCAAGGGAAACAATTTCCCTCTAAATTTAGTGGAAACACTTCCCCGCTAAATTTAGTGGGAAAATTTAGTGAAACTTTTCCCGCTAAATTTAGCGAAACTTTTCCGCTAAGTTTAGCAGATACATTTTCCAATAACGCAACATGCGGTTACGCCCGTTTGCATTATTCCCATAATAAAACGCGCGCGGTTACGCCGACGGCGACGCCGCTCAGGCTGGAAATAAGAACCTAAAAACTGCGCTCTATAAAAAATTAAAAAAAAAAAGAAGTAGCGTGGACTTAGTGTTCTTAGCTGTGCTCTTTGTAACGGGAGGGAAGCTTTCGCCACCTAGCTTGTGTCTGGCCCCTGTGCCTGACATGTGTGCAAAACAGTCACCCGTGAACAAGGGACCGAACTGAACTTGAAACGTCGGGCTCCGTATTATTTTATGGTTAGAGTTTTTCCTTTACATTAATTGTCATTCCCAAACAGGTGGATGTCCACCGAAATGTTTTCTTTCAAATGTCTGCAAAACCGCGTTTGTGGTGTGTCTCTCTATATAGTTAGACAATCTCTATATATAAGAAAAAGAAGTACTCTAGTTAATTGTATTTTTAGGCTGACCGACGATACATAACTTGTTTCCATTGAAACATGTTTGAGTCACAATATAAAAAAAGAATGGTACACAAGTCACGGTCGGAAGAGGAGCGATTTAAGCCTGTGTCAGAATGGCCGAGTGGTCTAAGCATAAGACGCAAGCGTTTGACCCTGCCCTGCCTCAGGGTTGTTGAGACTTCTCATTCACGAATGTGGGCGAATCCCACCCTTGACACAATCTTTTGCTGCGGTACTCAGAGATCCTCCCCGGGATCGGTCATCGCCCAGGTTTCAAAACAAGGTTTACTCATCACATTACATTTCGCCATGTGTAAGGGCGATGACCTTATACATGTTAAAGGGATGCTGATTCGAAATTTGGATTTCACAAAATAAGGTAGCAGGAGTGTTCGACGGGGCGCCACAGACCCAAAAACACCACTCATAAAGCGATATGTCGAACGGATGGCCGTATTTTCGTAAAATAAGGATGCGATTGGGTGAGAATCGCGACGTCACGTTTCCCGCAGAATTGTCGAGGAAGAGGGGAAACGGCCTTGCTTCCTTCTCTCGTCGTGTCCTCGCGGATCCAAAGCAGGGATGGGCAGTATTTCAAATACAAGTATTTGAAATACGTATTTCAACTACCTTGTGTATTTTGCATTTGTATTCAATTACAAATTGGGTAATGTATTTGGCGTGTGTATTTAAATACTAAAACGTAGGTATTTCAAATACAATTGTAAATTAAATACAATTTGTGGGCAAAAATACACCCCTCAAATTTATTGCCACTGTCCAGAGCAGGAAGAAAACTACGTTCTGCACCGAATGAAGTGTCTCTCAATCAAGCACATGCGTTTAGTGACTTTGTGACTACGGTGCTAGTCCAGGGCAAGAATAGTGACGAAATCGACGTTCACATGCAGACTGGCTAAATAAGTGCCTGTGACAACTTGTGATGCTTTCCAGCCTGATTTCCATCCATATTTGTGCCTGGAACATTCTAAATGCGCGGGTCGTCCAGATTTTCGTAACTAGTGCGAGTTACAACAATAAAAAAATTATCTAGCTAGTGCTGCGCGTCTTGGTCGTCTCGGTTCTTTGTTGGTCTATACCAAAATGTAATCGACAAAAAAAAAGTTGTTTGAAGTTCTGTACTTTTTGCACCTATTACGTCCAAGCTGATTACATTTTTCTGTGATTATATTTCTATTACATACTAGAGCATCGCACACTAACTCCTGAGTGTGCGATGCAAAATTAAAATGAGATACCCAGAAACCCATTGCAGGTGCCCTGAAGTCGCTGACGCAAATTTTGAGGAATGTATTTGGAAAAATATTTGGAGGAGACCAAATACATTTGGTTGTATTTGTATCTTGTACTTAAATGTTTTTTTTGAAATGTATTTGGATTGGTAATTAAATACATTTTTGACGAAGTATTTTGTATTTGTATTTCGATACATATTGGCATGTATTTTGCCCATCCCTGATCCAAAGCTAGCAGGTAAGCGATCATATGCAAAGTACTACACACGGGGGACGCTGAGCTCTAAAGGAAGTAAGGGACACAATTTAGATTTTGGTGTTGAAGTTTTGAATTTTCGAGTGTTGCCGACGGCCCCCCCCCCCCCCCCAAGCATGCACCATAGGTATCACATTGTCAGCTTCTGTTCGCAATATTACTGACGTGTGTGGTCATAAAAAGGCCACCGCGTTATCACTTTATCAGAATGTTTTGTTTAATATTCTGTGGCCATCTCGAAGACGTTTTTAAACTTTCGGCGGCATACGGACACGCATAATTAAAGTGAAACTACTCAATAACATTTCATTTCGATTAAACTACGAGGAAATCAATCTGCAATTTCGAAAACAATTCTTTCGATAACAAGTTATAACTAGCAGGGTGTCGTGATCGGTTGGTCGGTTAGTATAAATATTTCGACCAATTTATTAGCCCCAAAATCTAAGAATCCCACCTGGAGCTCATCAGGTATATTCATAGACGCAGTCACCATGTGACACAATACACCAAATTAGCACACCAGCATGCAAAAATCAACCAAGGCATCTTTTTTTTTCTTTTTTTTTCTTTTTTTTTTGTGTGTGTGTGTTTCTTAAAGCCTTTTCCGTGTTGCAGAAACGTCTTAAAGGAAAGGGTTGGCAGGCCCGTCCCGGAGTTTCCCAATCCTTCCGTGACTCAAAATAGCAAGGTTCCTCCTTCCGAACCACGACCGGCCGCGGTCCGGACAAAATATATTTGTTTTGGAAAGCGAACTGGGCATAAACTTATGTGTCAATTACTGGAATCAGTGATCTGGGAGCAGGACTCGAAGATTCGGGACTTGAAGGCACCTATGGACAGCATGAAGCAGTACTCTGGAAGGTAAAACATTGAAACACACGGTGTCCACAGAAAAAAAAAGAAAAGAAAAAACATGAAAACTCGTTTGAGATCATTAAGTGCCTAGCCACCAAACTCCAACTGCCCGAGAAAACAGCTGGTGTTATCGAGGCAGTGCACAGGTCGGGTTCTCGCGAAGGGAAGACCCCACCAATAATCGTGCGATTCAGGGACCGTTCTGTGTGTGACCGTTGGGCTGCTAAACGCGCGGCACTCAGGGACGAGCATATCTTTGTTGATAAGAACTTGACCAGGGCACTGAGTCAACTGCTCTGGAGTGCAAAGCAGCGTGCTAGGCACAGGTGTTACAAGTTTGTGCGGGTAAAGAACCGAAAACTATTTGTCCGTCAGAACTAGCTGTTCGTACCGAAAATGACGGTGATCTTTTGAAAATCACGTAATGAAGCGAAAATCAGGGGAGTCTCGTAATGTTAACAACAGCGTTCGAATTGTTTTCACAGTTGGATGATTACTGGAACGATATCTTGTCAGACTCTGTTGAAACTAAAGTGGCCCTAATCTTAATGCACATTAATGTAAGACGTTTACATAAGCATTGAGACTAGTTACAGGTTTATATGGCAGATCGACCAGATGGCTTGGATGTTTTAATAATAACAGAAACAAACATTGATATAGCGGTCTGCAACTTGTTTTCTTTGGGCGTTTTTCACACATTTTCCTTATGCAGAGAAAATCAAAGAGAGACGGAATACTTATGTTCATTAAAAATAGCTGGCTCTCCATGCAGGTTGCAACCTTCCTTGGTCATGCTAAAATTTTGGCTGTTACAATTTTCAAAAATGCAGCGTCATTTGCAATTTACAATATTTATAGACCAGCGAGCTCAAATTTTCCTTTATTCTACGACCAGTTGGAATATTTTTTGAACGGATTTAACTATAACAGTTAGCTGGTTTGAGCTGGAGAAATCAACATCGATGTTTTATATATGAACGTATCTAAATATAGTGTTGCAGAATAACTTAATCTGTTGTCGGGCTTTGGGCCAGAAAACGTAATAGGGAATTCCACACGGGAAGAGAGTTTGGGAATACGAACTACAAGCACGTGCATTGATCACATAGCTGCTAGATTCAATGAACTCAACTTTGCCTCAGGGCTAA